TCAAACCCTGAACCTTCATATTCTCTAACTGACATCAGTCCGTGATCTAAACTGAAACCAATCAAATCCCTGTTAACCAATACTTGGGGATTAATCTAGTGCTCACTAGTAAATGACTACACGATGAAGTTACTTGGAGTTCTAGTGAGAAGTAGTGACCAGTGGGGTCCATCAAGTTGGATGTGGGGACAGATATTCTCCAATGACATTGGGTGGAGATGATGATGCTATGTATCGCGAATTGGTAGAAGTTAGAATTCATGGGCCATTGCATCGGGTCCCAGTGGCCAAATGGTCTACAACCTTGCCTTGTGACTGGAAGGTCCCGGTTTTGATCCCCATTGGTGTCATGCGTGAGTACTGATGAAGAGTCACGAACCGAGATGAAACAACTGTTCAGTACTCTCTGGTTTTCAAAGGTTCTCTAAGTGATGTCATTTGGTGATCAGACTTGAAATGTCATTTGGATTAAGCATTTCGGATTATTTTATGAATCGACTAATCAATAGGATAAATTCAGCTGTTAGAGTAGTTATGAGAAATAGTTATTACAACGGTAGTTCTAGTAAAATTCAGTCGACTAATTAAGACTTTGTAAGTGACTGTCCTCTTTCCAGTTTAATATGGGATTCTATGGGTCTGAAGTTATCTTAGGAAGAAGAAAGATGATTGGACTAGAAGGTCTTACAGTGTGACGGGAAAGAATGTAATCATGTTCCTTCATTCAACTGAGCGGATATTAGATATTCACTCAAATTCTCAAATTGAAAACTACAAAGTGTGAGGTGAAATTCCACCACGGTTTCCTTTAGAATTCGAGATTGTTTAGATCACACTATGTATTCTTTCATCCAAATGCTTGATCTACGTTGGAATTTCAAGCAATAATGTGGACGACTCAATGACGCCTTATGATAGACGTAGTATTATTTTGGTCATTGGTAGCTAGCAGTGGAATCCATGATGTGCGTTTTGTCCTGAAGTCGGTGGGTGGAGGGTTTAAGTCCCATTTGGGATACCGTTACTCACTGGGTATGTAGATATATCCAGCTACTGCGTTCCGAATAGAACATGTGTGCATATGTATATAGTGTGGGATAAAAACGTTTACGAATAGAATGAATGCATCATCCTTATCATTGAAGTAGATTTAAAACTTTGTTGCTTGAAAGCCTTGACCAAGAGAATTTCAACAACTGATTATTTTGATAATTTTGATTTAATTTCCCATAAAGTGTCAGTCAGAATATTGTAATTTCGAGAAACAATCAGCTGATGATGTGATATTAGATTCTTACCGTGAAATATTAGTTTGTTCGTTTGATATTAACTACAGTTCAGATTGCCTCATAAAACAATCTAGGAAGAGAATATAGTACTGGAAGAGATTTTACAATTAGAATGAAGCAAGAACAACAACTTAATTGCAGCTTAGTTAATTCCTGTTTGTCGGAAAACATGTTATTTGCTCAGTCAAAGGTCAACAGATACCCTTCTTAAGTTAACTCTAACTGCGTATACAAATTTACACGTATCTACGGCAGCAATTAAATTGAGACAACAGGAAGAAGGCCATACCTCTGATTTTCTGGACATGTAGCAAAAAGCCTACGTTTTAAGGGAACAAATGCTTACAATACTGCCATTGCCAGGCAACTTATCAGTACAGGTCGTGAGGTAGACATCACGAAATCCTTTAAATTACCAATAGAAAATATAATCTAGTTGTCTTCAAGTTTACCGGAGCAACAGAGATCATGTACCTGAAACCCAGTTCGTATGTTCGAAAAGAAACTGTTTTCAGTCTTTCCTTGCTCTGGTAACTGGTTGTCTTTACTCTCTCTTTCACTTGATTACATACCATTTGGCTCTAACCTCTCTCCTTTGATATGGTGTAACTTTGCTTGTCTCTTGTTTCTATGATTTGAGTTGATCTCATTACACTGTTATTTAGTTTGTTAGTTACTCGTCATCTAATTCCCCTATTTTTTTAATTCCATAACTCTTTTGCTATTGTATACAAACATTTATTTTTGTTTAAATTTAGACTCCCTGTGTATAAAATATATACAGGTGTATTTTCTGAGCACTGTTTATTGAGTCTGGAGTCTCCTGTCAACTGATAACGTGTAACATATGCGATAATGTCAAAATTTTCAAGTATTGGTTTGTAGGGATGTGATTGATTGGTTACAGGATTTCATCATGAGCTGACATCGATTAGAGAACCATTGGAAAACCTCCAGGGAGTACTGGACAACTGTTTCATCCTAGTTTGGGACTGTTCAGCGGTACGCACCCACCAACGGGGTTTGAACCCAGTACCTTTTGGTTAAAAGGAGAGCTCGTAAATCATTCAACCACTGGGACCCGATCCACTGACCACTTTAAGCGAGAATATTTGAAGAAAAATCTCCTCATTTGTAGTTTTGATTGTGAAATTTGACTGACTGTCATCTCTTCATCACACGATTTTCTCTATATCATCCTCGAGCTCCAAATCTGTCTTCTCCTGTTCAGCTTCCACTCGAGGTTATGCTTGACGCGTAATTTCACTAGACGGTTTCCTCAACTTGTGTCCGATCCATCTCCATTTTCTGTTATTAAGTGTAACATTAAGACTATAAACTGTGCGTTCGAAAACTAAATTTTGATTTCTATTGTGTATCGTAATTAATAGTTTTCGATGAAAGCATAAATTCTGTTTACATTTCAATTTTATATGAATACGGTCAGATAAATTCGTTGTTTTTTCTTGACAAAACTTGTTGACCTCTTGTTTATTTGTCATAATTTACGGTTGAATTTGTCGCCCACATGAATACAATACTCATATATTTCTGCAATCTTTATTATACTTTTCCACATGGATGATTAGCAGTGTTCAAATTTTATGAGAATTCATCCTTTTAGATCATTTAAACATAAATTCTAGCGTTGATTCGTGTCTGTTCGACTTGTGAAACATTGTTATTACTACCGCTAATATTAGTGTTATTATCATTATTATCAGTACTATAACTAGTAGGGAAAACAGCGCTTTGCTAATTAAAACATAAATTAGATAATTGAAGACTTTGTTGTATTTTCCAACGTATACGTGTAACAATAATATGACAAATTTCTAAGATAAAATGAAATAAATTAAGTAATATTGGTGTCACTGTTTACTTGTGATTACCACTGTTGACATCAGTAAAAAATTCTTCTTCTTCTAACTGAGTGACCCATGAATAGTTACAAAATGAAAACATAATAAGGCGTAGATTCGACTCCATATTGTGTTAAATTGTTCTAGTTTTAATTCATTTATTATATCCACAGTTAGGAAAGATATAAAAAAGTGATCTTAGTGAATGTAGCATTCTCATGACCTTTTATGTATAAGGAAATAGGTGAAAGGCATCTGTTAATTTATTACCTAAATAGAATGTTTTGAGAAAGTAACTGGTTTCAGTAGAGCTGCGCCACCAGCTAACTAACTAGCCACTTTTACGAGTTGATCACGGATTAATATCAGTTAGAGTACCATTGAAAACCTGAAGGAAGTAATGGACAGCTGTTTCCTCAATCCTAGCTTGGGACTCATCTGCAGTAAGTATCCACCGGGTTTCGGACCCAAGACCTTCTGGTTGCAAGGAAAGCTCGTATACCATTCAGACACTGGGACGCGATTCAATGACCAGCCCATAAATTCTAGCTTCTATCAATTCGTGATTTAGCGCGACCACCAGCCAATGTCATCTGTGGGGAATCCATTCTCACACTTGACTGGATGGACCTCACTGGTCACGACTTCTCACTGGAACTCCAGGAAACTCCTTCTTGCATCCAGTCACTAGCGAGCATCAGATTAATTTTCAAGAGTTGATTTATAAGGATTTGATTAGTTTCTTGGTATACGAGCTTAACTTGTAACCGGAAGGTCCTGGGTTTGAACCCCAGTGGGTACTTACTGCCGATTATTCACAAACTAGGATGATACAGCTGTCCAGTACTCTAGTGCATGTTTTTAATAGTACTCTAATTGATATCAATCCGTGATCAACTCGTAAAAACAAATCTAATCCTTACAAACCAACTTGTGATAACTAGCTATTGAAAAAAAGACAAACAAAGTAGTACTAGAGAGCTAATTCTCCTTAGTGTTATTACACTACTCAGTAGTGTACATCAATGATTTCATGAGGAATAAAATTCGTACTGTCGGTTTTTGAGACAAGCATGCTACAATAACTCACTCAGCAGCTGGAATCCAACATCTAGTAGTTTATAGTTTATCATGACCATCACTTTTTTCTCATTCGTGTACAGCATACTCAAATCCTGTTTGAGTTTAATGCTGAAGCAAATATTTAGTGAACAACCAACTGTTTATCAACTGTCCATCACCCTAGAATAACTAGACATGTTTCCTTTCAAACTGTAACTTCTTACTATGACAGATGACTAACTGTGAAAATCAGGGAGTACATACCTCCTAAATTTGCACTGTTTGTACACGTAAAACGTAAAAACTTCTCAATTAGTTTAATGGGTGTTTATTAAAGGTGAAATGAAAAGTATATCAAGAGTCGATTTGTAAGGATTTGATTTCTTTTTACAGTTTGACGATGGAGTGATATCAGTTAGAGAACTATTGAGAAACCTGCAGGGAGTACTGGACAGCTGTTTCCCCAGTCTTAGTTAGGGACTAATCTGCAGTAGGCATCCACCGGGTTTCGGATCCAGGACCTTCTGGTTGCAAGGCAAGCTCGTATACCATTCAGACACCGAGAATTGATCCAAAGACCAACCCATGAATTCTAGCTCCTACCAATTCAAGTATATCAGTAAATTAGTGGACATGAAACCTCTATAACTGCAATAAAAAGAATGATACGAATAAGCAATTTGGTAGGTATTTTGAGTGACAGATATGATGGAAATATCTTAACCTAATGTAGTGAGGACTACAAGTAACTCCTTTCAACTGATCTTACTGTTACTGTATAATTTTCTACAAGCGTTGTAAATTGAACAGGTTAAAGTTATTACATTTGTTAAAATTTTTAATTTCCTAACGTTTGCTCTCGACGAACCGAAATGTTCACTCTCTGTTGTTATACAGCATGAATACAATGTAAATGTTAATTTCATTCTATAGATGGTGACTAATAATCGTGGAACCGAGAACGCCCATTTCGTCCGATCCAGGACTCGTCACTGAAATACCTCCTGTTTCAAATGATGAGTCAAGTGTCACTTCCCAGAATGAAGGTGCATTCATCTAATAAGCCCGCAAATAATACTAAAAGTTATTACCATTGCCTCGTTAAAAGGTAAATAAAAAAGGTTTGTACCACTGTCATGTAAGTTAAACTACGTATTTTAACTAAGTAGTAAGGGAGAAAAAGTGAGCCTGACTCCGAATGTTCATATTCATTATTTCATACAGACGATTGGATTCAGTTCCACGTTTTTACAAATGTCCATTCAATTAATCAACTACGTTTCTTTTCATCTCCTAAAAACATTCAAAAGTAAGCCGGAGGCGCTATTCATCGCAAATTTAGATTAGCCTTGTATATACCGATAAAGAAGACCACATGACCTATTATTAATAGAGATTTATATTTCCTATTGAGTATAAAACAAGAACTGTTTTTTTTAGCTTTCAATCATTGGAAAATGTAAATCTCTAACAATAGTGAATATTGTTCTCCCAATGTCCGGTTTTCTGAACCTTTTGAATACCTAATCCATCAGTCTACTAAAAGTGTCCAATCTGAATTTGTCTTGATTGTCATTTTCTTTTAACTTAGTTTAATATAAAGAATTCTGTTCCATATAAATGACTCTATGTTTTATAGTTGTCAGAAGTTGAAAGTCATGGATTATTTAACGAAGTGGCTGAAAGGTAAAGGTGTCCGGCTTGTAACTTTAGGTCATGGGTTAGATTTCTGATGTGGCGATAAGTGCGTACCATTAAAGAGTTCCAAAGTGGGAAAAAGTTAATCTTTGAAGTTCCCACAAACACCATATCTCAGTAATTTGAACCGACACATATACCTTGGGATAAATGAGCTTCTTAGACAGATGTCGAATATTATCTTAAAGTTTTGTTACTGAAGGGTGATCATATTTCAACTGAGATCTGAACTTAATTGTTGGGGCTCGTACCTCAGCTGGTATAGTGTAACACTAGAATATATTTATAAGATACAATGCGAAAATCATATAACCATGTCAATGATTCACCAATACAAAGAGGGCAATAATTTAAATTATGACAAAACAATTTAATAGGGTCATAAATGTAAGTAGAATAATAGACAGTTTAAATTCTATTCGTCGGAGGATTTCATCATAAGCTGACATCAGATAGAGAACAATTGGAAAAGCTTCAGGGAGTAATGGACACCTGTTCCGTCCTAGCTTGAGAATGTTCAGTAGTACGCACTCACCGAGGGGGTTCAAGCACACGACCTTCTGGTTACAAGTCTAGCGAGCTCGTAGACCATTAAGCCACTGGGTTCCGATCCGATAGCCAACCTATGAATTCCTACTTCTTACAATTCATAACATAGCGTGACCACTTCGCAGTGTCTTCTTCCATGAGTTACTACCTCACCTCCAACCTGCTGTACCCCACTCTACGAGTCCCAGTGACTTAATGGACCACGAGTTCGCTAGTCTTGTAACCGGAAGGTCCTGGGTTCGAACCCCGTCAGCGAGTGCGTATTGCTGAACATTCTCAAACTAGAACGAAAAAGCGGTACCGTACTCCCTGAAGGTTTTTCAATGGTTTTCTAACTGATGTCAGCTCATGATGAAATCCTCCAACTAATATGAAAGACACCTAGAAAAATAGGATGTTAATGAAAGAGCGTAAAGATAAATGACCAAAATAAATTATGCAATAGGTAGAGTAAATAAAGGGTTGGTTAAAAAAACATGGTAATAAAAACTTCTACAAAATTCGAAAAAATGACTATTATTACCAAAGTAGCAGAACTTGGAATTATACCCAAGGTAGAAGTAGGGGGTGGAGAGGTTTCTTCTGTGTACATAAATTAAATTTTTCTATCCGGACAGCTAAGATTGGCTCATTCGGTAAAATGAGTATCAAATTACCAAACAAAAAATCACAATCATTTTCATGTGTTATTCATTATTTGCTTTTATTACAATTAAATTCAGTCGAGAGGATATAGATACTTGAAAAATGAGATGATACTAATGCTGAGGACTAAAAAGTTACCGTGAGTGTGTTATTGTTTTTGTTGTTACATTAACTGTCGTGTGTCGTTAAGACCTTTTCGTTATATGTAAGAAAACAATGATTATTATTCATGTAATTATTGAAAAGGAAGGAAAAAGGAAAATATGAATTATGTTAACTGTCTGTGAGATTTCCTTCACTTAAACAGGTGGTAAATAAACTTTGAAGAGATTGCAAATTACGGAGGGATGTAGAGATGTTCTGTCCTATTGTCGAGCTGTTCACTAAAATTCGATCATGACATCACGAATGGTGCCAGTCAATTTGAATGTGAAGACCACCAATTCCCCATGATATTTTATGGTAGTAGAGCCATATTGTAAGACTATAGAAGTTAGAATTCATAAACCACTTTGGGTTCCAGTCATTATTATTATTATTATTGTTTCCTTTAGTTCCTAGAGGAACATAGGACTTCAGCCGCATGTCCCCACTGTGCTCGGTTCTCCGCCAACGTTTTCACCTGACCCCACGTCCTCCCATATACTTTCATCTCTTCACATGACCTCATCCATGTCACCTTCACACTGACGATCAACTCGCCACTTCCCTTTCGGGTTCCACTCGAGCGATGGGCTGGCGTGTGATATCACTTGATGGCTTGTTTTCTCAGAGTATGGCCAATCTACCTCCATTTCATCCGGCTCATTCGTTGCACAATTGGTTCCTGATGGGTTGGTTCGCTCATTGCCAGAGAACCATCCCTGTTGCTGATCTTTTCTGGCCTGCCATCTGATCTTGAGTAGTATTGAGCGAAGACAGCTGTTGATGAAGGTGTGTAGTTTGTTCGAAGTGCCCTTCGTGACGCGTTGCCAAGTCTCTGATCCGTATAGTAAGTGACACTGACTTTACATTTGAGTTGAAAATTCGTATCTTATTTTTCATTCTAAGTAGTGCTGTTGATCTCCACACGAACTTGAGAGTAATGAAAGCTTGCCTTGCTTTCCCGATCCTTGCTTTGATATCCTCATCAGTTCCCTCCGCCTGTAGTTGAAACGATGTTTCCCAGGTCGTAGATAGGTGAAGGAAGTTGCTTCTTTCAAATATCTCCCATTTATGCTGGCTGATTGCTGCCTGTTGTTGTTACTGTTGCTGTTGGCCAGGAATCTTCATCACCTCTATTTTCTCTATGTTCACCTGAAGTCCTAACTCCTGTGGTTGCTTCTTCTGCCAACTTGCTGCTTTTTACTCGCATATCTTCCAGTTTGTGGTAAATCAGACATATGTCATCGGTGAATTCCAGATCCTCCAAGTTTTTTGTGTGGTTTCATTTTATGCCTGTTTCCTTGCTGCCCACTGTCTGTTACATTGTCCAGTCTAACGCAATGAGGAAAATCTTTGGAGATGGTAGGCAGCCAACGAGGTGGCTGAAAACTAAACATGCTCGCCTTGTAACGTGAATGCATTAGATTTGATCATCTGTGAAATTATTAGTTCTTCACAGTCTTAAACTTCGATGAAAGGTTTGTCCACTGCTCTTCAGTTGTCAAGAGTTCTCTACCTGATGTCTGTTGATAATAAAATATGTCTTAAAGTCAACAGAATTTCTAGCAAACGCAATCAACTTTTTAGTAAAGTGATGAAAACTTATGACGAAATTCGACATGTTATTTACTGAGTTAGATAGGTACTTAGTAGTAAATTTTAAGAAGTATTATTTTACAGTGAAATAAAGTCTAATATCAGTAAAATATTACCTGAAGATACGAAAGTATTACGTTTAGTGAACCCTAGCTAAAGTAATATTGTATTTAGTGTATACTGTAAGAATCATCCGATTCAATAATGTCGCTTTTGGAAGAAAATATATGTAGTGAAACTCATTATGTCATACGAAAATAATCTTATTGAATCTTTGTGGATTTAGATCAAGTAAGAAGAGTTATCTAGTCAATGAGTCAAAAACTGAAGTAATAACTATGACTAACTGGTGAATATAAGTCTCAGTGATACTCAGAATTTCATGGTAATAACGGAGAACAGTGAGGTTTTTATCAATCTTTCTTAATTCATCATTCAGGCAGAACTGGAAACACACTTCGCTGATTACCAACATAAGGATGGGAATTACGAGAACCTGAGGAGCACCAAACATCTTTCACTTCCTAGTTTAGAATATTTTTACCAGTCTACACCGACAATCTGGCATGAGACCAAGTGAGTGATGTAATCACCTATAGGTCTCGAAGTAGGCATCTAATTTACTAAATACTGACTTAGAATTCGGTGACATACGTTTTTTAAAAGACACTTTTGGTATTTGCTATGAAAGCCAAAGTTAAGAATCACCTTCGATAACGACTTTTAGCTTATTATTTATTTTCTAGTATTGGTTTTGCAGGGATTTTGTTTGATTGGTTGGAGGATTTCATCATGAGCTAACATCGGTTATAGGACCATTGGAAAACCTGCAGGGAGTACTGGACAGCTGTTTCGTCCTAGTTTGAAACTGTTCATCAGCGCGTACTCACTGATGGGATTCGAAACCAGGACCCTCTGGTTACAAGCCTATTGAGCTCGTAGACCATTAAGTCACTGGGACCCGTAAGGTAGGGTACAGCCGGTTGAAGGTGAGGTAGTAACTCATGGAAGAAGACACTGCGAAGTGGTCACGCTATGTTATGAATTGGCAGAATTAGGAATTCATAGGTTGGCCATTGGTTTGCGAGCTCGCCTCTTAACCAGAAGGCCTTGGGTTCGAACCCCGTCAGTGAGTACGCGCTGCTAAACAGTCTCAAACAAGGACGAAACAGCTGTGC